CCTTGAAACCCAAAGACTCTTCCATTGTAGCCAATGAGAGTTATTCCCACGTGACCCCACTGCCTCTCTGCCTGTGACACATGTGCTCTCTCGACTTTCTGGCAGCTGCTCTTTTCAGGGTGGTACGGTATTGTTTGCTTCTGCTGGAGTCCAGGCAGCGCTTTCTTTGTTGATGGGGAATTTATCACATTTCAGTTTCTTTTCTCAGTAACAGAACCTTCCGATGAATCCCTGCTGTTGTGTTCCCACAGGAAGCTGCTATCTTATTTTTCAGTATAAAGTCTAGGACAGAGAAAACAAGGCAAATGGAGCTGCTGCCAATCGTCCACTTGCCCCATTCACTTCCCACGTGCATGAAGTGGGGAGGAAAAGAAGGAACATGCTGGGGATGTCAAACTGAAATCTCCAAAAGGGGTCGAGAGTTGTCAGCCCTGAGGAGCATCCCGCCTGATGATAGGATTCCACAGAGAGGCCAAGGTACCTGGCCAAATGACCGGGGTATGGGCAGGACAGGGGTTAGGAGCCCTGTCTCTTGTCCCATGGGTTGTCCCATTCTCCGGGGATGACCTAAAGTGATGCTCTTCCCAACAGGACTCCTCTGGCCCCTCAATCAGCAAGTAGATGAGAAGAATGGAAAGTAGGATTTCAATCTGGGTTATTTCAGTTGAATGCTTGTAATAGCCACTGATTCTATTGATAATTCTTTTTCCTGGTGTCACGTCAGCCCCCTGAAATGGCTGTCCACTATATCCTTGTATACACAAAACTCCAGTGGGAAGGTGGCCAAAGATAGGAACAGCCAACATTTATTGGGTGCTACCTAGTGCCGTCTCATGTTGCTCTTAGTGCTTTTTATTTTCTGCGTTAACACAGTCAATCCTCAACAAACACCCTCTCTGCTAGGTATTATTTGTGTCCCCATTTTAAAGATGGGGAAATTGAGAAACAAAGAAGTTGCCTAAGATCACACAGTTTGAAAATGGTAGAGCCAGGACTTGAACTCAGCCAGTTCTGATTCTGAAGCCTGTGTGCTTAACCACCATTCTTACTGTTTCTCTAGCCACTTAGCTGCAGAAGGAACATAGCATTCTGTTTTGATGTACAAGAAAATTTTAGTTTTTAAGCATATCTTCCACTTTTAAATAGCCTGGGATCTCCCAAGAAGTTTGGTGGCTGGAGGTCAGTTGAAAGCTGTAAATGGTATTTATTACCCACAGACTGGGTGAGTAAGATGTTCAGCTTCCTGAAGATGAGACCAGGCCTGTCCCGTCACAGCGCACTCTCAGCCCCAGATGTCTGGTATGTAGCGGGAGAAACAAGAAATACTGTTGAATGACTAAATTTGTTTCTTATTAAATCATTTTATGAATACTGAATACTATTCTTGTTTGGATCTTGGATACATGTAATACAGGGAAAATTAGAGGAAAAACTTCCAGTTCCAAATAATAAGCTTTCTCCTTAAATAAGCAAGGGGACAGAGAACATAAAAGTGGCATTTTGGGTTCCGACTGTTGAGATTGTTGTTATAATCTCCCATTGTGCTTTTTATATGTAAATATGGTGGTGTAGTGGTAAACAATCTGCTGGCGGCACAGGAGATGAAGGAGAGGAGGGTTCCATCCCTGGGTTGGAAGATCCCCTGGAGGGGGAAAATGGCAACCCACTCCAGTACTCTTGCCGGGAAAATCCCTTGGACAGAGAAACCTGGTGAGCTATGGTCCATAGCGTCATAAAGAGTTGGACACGACTGAGTGACTGAACACACACACAGTATAAACTGTATATATTTGTTAGCATAGTACTAGCTGCTGTAACAAAGAAACTCTGTAATCTCAGGGGCTTAACATAGTAGCAGCTTACTTCTCACTCATGTACCAGTCCAATGTCCTGGCCGGAGGTTGGCTTTATTCCTAAGTTGATGCAGGGACACAGAGATCCTCTGGGGCTTTGAAGCCCTCTGCTTCCAGCTAGGCCAAGAGGGGAATGCACATCCATTTTTCAACACTCTGCTCTAGAAGTAATGCACATCACTTCTGTTCATGTTCCGTTAGAGATAACCAGTCATATGGCCACACTGGGATGCAAGAGAGGTGGGGACATACATTCCCAGCAGAGCAGCTGTCTGTGAGCTCACCTGCTTGAGAAGCATGAATATTTGGTGGGCAATTAGAAATCTGGGCTTCCCAGGTGACTCAGTGGTAAAAAATCCACCTGCCAATGCAGGAGATACAGGTTCAATCCCTGGTCCGGGAAGATCCCCTGGAGAAGGGAATGCTGGCAACCCACTGCAGTATTCTTGCCTGGGAAATCCCAAGGACAGAGGAGCCTGGTGAGGTCACAAAGAGTCGGACATGACTTTGTAACTGAACAACTAGAAATCTGCCACTGTGAAGAATAAACACTTTCCTGGGTTGCTTTTTATTGTAAGGTGTCTACCAAACAACATTCTCCAGGCCAGAATACTGGAGTGGGTAGCCTTTCCCTTCTCCAGGGGATCTTCCCAACCCAGGGATCAAACCCAGGTCTCCCACATTGCGGGTGGATTTTTTACCAGCTGAGCCACAAGGGAAGCCCCCAATACATATAAAGGTCCTGGCAGATGGTAGATAGCAGATAAACCATAACAGGCTTTATGAGGTCTTCTAAACAGCTATTTCTTAATAGAAAAAAGATTACTTTTTAAAAAATTGCCTAGACAATGGAAAGTGTAATAAAGGACAAATAGTGGGCCTTATGAAAATATAAGTTGTAGGACTTATATTACGCTTCCAACTGCTAATGTGACAACATTGGTCCCATATCCATAATGAAGCCAGAAATCAGAGTCTAATCAGGCAGTGTGATTAACCTGCTTATAATTGCCTGAATTCTAGTAAGAGTCATAAGAAAGTGAAAAATGAGTATAATATTAATAGCCATGATTTACTGAGTATATTTCTTAATCCTCACACCAACCCCTGAGACACAATGTTACCACCGCCAATACCACCTATGTTATTACCATCACCATTTTGCAGATGAGAGAACAGAAGGGTAGAGAGGGAAAGCAATTGTCCAAAATGCTCAATTATGAGTGGTGGAACAGGGATTTGAACCCAGGCAGTCTGACTCTAGAACTCAAGCTCTTAACCAAGGCGCCTGGGAGCTTGTTGGAGGAAATGCTTTATCTGTGTGAAAACACTTGAGCACAATGCATGATAACATTGTGCTAAACTGTGGTTCAAATTATAAATGCTATAGGAATTCAGTCTGGAGAGGAACTCCCTGTTTTCGGGCATGACTGTGTGCCAGACATTGTACTGTTTCCATCCTTCCCAATTAAGGAGAGGTAGAACTGCATATGTGGAAGAACACACGCTTGGGAACTGGACAGGTAGGGTTTAATTCCTGGTGTGGCTATTTACAACCTGTGTAATCTCAGGCCAATTTCTTAACTTTTCTGATATGGTTTCCTCAACTGAAAACAGGGTTTACTGTCATAAAATAGGATCAGCACATGGTAGGTGTTATTTATTCGATACTGGTTAAGTCCTAGGCACTGGGGAGGATCACCATCAGCCAGAGTAAGTTAGGTTATGCTGCTGTAACAAACAACCGCCAAATCTCCCTGGTTTAACACATTTAATATTTGCTCACACTACTTTTACAATGCAGGTTACTTGGGCCAGTTCTGCCATCATTACAGAGGCCCAGGCTGGATGAGGTATCTCTGTACTTCATGGCTGTTGTGATTGCCAACATTGAATTTTCAGGATTGTCAAGACATGGGCATTTACCCATTGGTCCTACAAAGTTTCCACCTAAAAGCAATGCACATCACTGCTCTTATTCCACTGGTCTAAGTAACGTGGCCACATTCAATTTCAAGAGATGGGGTAGTGGATTCCTACCATGTCCATGGGCTCCCCTGGTAGCTCAGACAGTGAAGAATCTGCCTGCAATGTGGCAGACCTCGGTTCGACCCCTGGGTTGGGAAGACACCCTGGAGGAGGGATGGTAACCCACTCCAGTATTCTTGCTGGAGAATCTCATGCCCAGAGGGTCACAAAGAGTTGGACAGGACTGAGTGACTAAGCACAGCACTCGTCCCTGGGAAGGGAAAGACCCAGGGTTAGCAGTTTTAATTACCGCTACAGACATGATCCGTTTACCTGTAAAACAGATCAGCTAATCTACACTTCAAGAAGAAACTGAAACTCTGAGAGGTTAAGTCATTTGACAAATGTCACACAACCTAGCCACTGGGAAGCCAGGCTCAACCGGCATGTTATTTATACTGACTTTCTAATCTACATATGCAAAGTCTACAGATTTTGTATAAAAGCAAAACTAGTTGCTGGAGGCAGGCAGGGAGACCCTGCAAGTGTGGAGGACACATTTCGGTGACTGTGGTGTTACAGGCTATTACTCTGGCAGCGGGGAGGGGGCTTGCAGGGAGGACGTGATGTTGCTGGATCCAGGGTAAGGTGATAAGGTATAGACAAGCCTGAAGACAGCAGGAATGCAGAAGTGATGAACCTGAGAGCTGCGGAGGAAACGCGAGTCCGGTTCACCGGTGAAAAAATGAACCACCGCGCCATCTGTAGAACGCACCAGACATTCCTCACCGCTCACTCTTCCCATCCCAGTCTTGTATACCGCACTATTAAAAAAACTCCCGAAGCCCTCTTTCTCCTGCCTTCTTCCTTATTTTCCCTTGCTGCTTCTTAGAAGGTGGCAGCCTTGCCACAGTCGTAGCCTTCCTGTCTGCCCCCCGCTTGTGGGGGTGGGGTGCTGGGTACCACCTCCAGGATCTGGCCATTTCAGTTAAAGGAGAAATAAAAACGCCCAAGGGGCCAAGAGGCCTGCCTGCCTGTCGCCTCTGGCTCAGCCGGTCTTAGGCCCTGCTCCATCCGAGGTCCCTGGTTTGCCCATCTCCAAACACAGCTTTGGCGGGCAGGGTGGGCGCCCAGCTGCATCCAGGTACCTCCAGCGACTCAACTCTCCTCCTCTCCCAGGCGGGAGTCCTGGACAGTGTCGGAGGGCCGCAGTGCGGCGACCGGCCGCAGGTTCAGCCTCGGAGCCTCCCTTCCTCCCCGCCTTCGCCTTTCTCTGGAGATCAACGCGCCCCTCTTGGGGTTTTCAGGGGCGCGCAGCTGCCCCGGCCCCGGCCCGGGGGAGCCGCCCTACGCCAGCCGGGATGGGGGTCTGCGAGGCCGGAGTGCGCCCCGCGGCGGGGGAGGGGGAGCCGTGACTCACCGCCTGTAACCCGACACCCGCGCGCCTCCCCTCCCCCAGCCTCTCCCCGTCTCCGGCCTGGCGGCCGCGGCGACACCTTAAAGAAAATGAAGGGGCGCCCGAGCCCGCGGCGCCCCCGGCCGGATCGCCAGCGGGCCCCGGGGGCCCCCGGCTCCGAGCGCTCTCGTCTGCCCGGCCCCGGGGCTCGGCGAGCCGCCGCCGTCGCCGCAGCCAGGGCGCGAGCCGGAAGGGAGGCCGGGCGGCCGGAGCCGGAGTCCGAGGCGGCGGCGGCGGCGGCGGCGGCGGCGGCGGGCCCGCGGTAGCGGCGGAGGCGGCGGCGGGCGAGCCGGGGGAGGGGGCGCCCGGGCTGGGACCCCCCCCCCCGTCTCTTTCCCAGCCGCGCGAGGACAAAGCCCCCTGGCCGCCAGCGCGGCCTAGCCGGCACTGCACAAAGGGCGAGTCGCGACACGCTTCCATCCCCCTTCCAGTTCGGGGTGGCCCCGGGCCCGGGAGGCGGGCGGGAGGTGGGGGGAAGCCCGGGCCGCGCCGCCCCTCGCCCCCTCCCCGGAGGCCGGCCCTCGCGCCGCGCCCGCCCTCGCGCCCGCCCAGTCTGCGCGTCCTCCCGGGGAGGGGTCTGGGGGCGCGGCGCCGCACATAACACTCCCCCTCCTGAGCTCAGAGCCACCCCTCTCCCCTCCCTCCTGCGAGCACCGCCGCCTCCCCTGCCACCGCCGCCACCTCGCCCGACGCGCCGCAGCTCGCCGCGGCCGGTGGGCGGTGCGCGGATCGTGCGCGCCGGGGGCGCCAGATGTGCCGTCCCCGCCGTCGCCAGTGACCCAGCCGCAGCCCCGGCGGGAGCCGGCCGCCTTCCCGATGCTGCGGGGGCGACCGTGAGCGCGCCCCGCTTTCTCTCGGCGGGGACCCCGACACCGCGAGCGCCCTGCCCGGTCCTGCCCTCTCCGGCCCGGCTTGCCCCGCGTTCGGACATGGAGGGGGCCGCTGCGCCCGCGGCCGGCCCGGACTTGGGGCCGGGGGCGCCGGGCTCTCCGCCGGAGGCGGGGGCGATCGCGGCCCCCTCGGCGGCGGCCCCGGAACCCAGGAAGCCGCACGGTGTGAAGCGGCATCACCACAAACACAACTTGAAGCACCGCTACGAGCTGCAGGAGACCCTGGGGAAAGGCACCTACGGCAAAGTCAAGCGGGCCACCGAGAGGTTTTCGGGCCGAGTGGTGAGTTGGGGGGAAACCCGGGGGGCTCGGTCTAGACGCGGCTGGGGACGCAGCGCGCACGCGGCGGGGTTTGGGGGCGCAGAGGGGGTCTCTGGCCCGAGAGGGGGCTTCTCTGGAGCCCCCAGATTCCTCAATCTCCCCCGCCCCAGCCCCCAGTGGCTCAGGCGTGTCTTTCTCCCGAAACACTTGTTACATCCTGTCTGCGCATATTTTGGGGGTTTTGATCCCAGCAGCAAAGTAGTGTTTATGATTTGCAAACACTTTGCACCATCGGGACCGTTGGGGTCTCCCTCGCGGGCACGCATTCATGCCCTGGAATGCCTTATTGCTGTAACTCCACACAGAGCCACATCCGCAGCTCGGGGCTGGTTCGCCTGGCCCCATCTCCTATAGATGAATGAGACCCCCCCCCCCCCTCCCCTGCATCCTCCCAGTCCCCGTCGCCGCGGTGCTGAGGTCGCTGCAAGGGAGGACGGACTCCTGCCAGTTTTTAAGAGAAAAGGTTAGGGGAATAGAAGTGAAGGTTCAACCCTCATGCCTGAGGGTTGTGACAGTTTGCTGCTGGCTTCTGGGAGGACTGAAACGCCTAGGGCATGGATAGCCACACTGAGTTGCAGATTCAATTGCCTTTCAGGCCCCGGCTGCAAGACCGCTGTATTGTGTAAGGGGTCTGACCCAGCACCCCCACTCTTTGTGACAGCTGTAACCCTGCCAGGGTCCTAAGACCATTACTCAGCCCCAAGTAACATCTTGAGTGCTTTGGAGTCTGCATTGTTCCAACCTTGGCTTGTCATTTTCCTTTCTGCAGAACAGGCCCTTGCAATCCATGCTGCTTGTGGCTAGAGGGTTGGGTTCAAAGTGACTGACTATTGCAGAAAGATTTTGTGTGGTGTGTGGCAGAAAATTAACATGGTTCTTTGATTTTCAGCGTATCAGATGGATTTTAATCGATTTAGGGCCAAAGTCAGGAAGTAATTATGGAACTCCTTGTGTACACTTTTGGGGGGTGTTTGGGGGCCCAGGGTTGCTTATAAACTTAACAAATGATCACAGGGGAAAAGCAAAATGGGCTGCTGAATAAAGTAAGTGGTGGGTGATGTCAGTATTTTTCTTTTGCATCTGTTCAGTGACAGTTCTGTGGACAAAACATGGCACCAATCAGAAAGTTCAGCCAGCCCAGTTCTCAGATATTGGTTTATCTGGATAATTCCTTCATTCTAGGCTTCACTCTTTGGGCTGATATAGCTTTATCCTAGATCCTAAAAATTAAAGTCCATTATAGATTAACTGGAAATTTGAGAGATTGTACATAGTATTTAAAAAAGTTGTCTCCTATCATCAAAATCTATAGCAAGTAGTCGAGAAGGCAGGTGCCATTTTTGTAGATTGAAAATTTTCAAGAGGAGATGCAAAAATGTCCTTTGAGGAGCACACTCCAAGGTTCTGTGGAAGAGGAGGCTGAGAAACGTGCGCTTCATTCATGCTTTTTGTCTGAGGTGATATTCCCCAGGCTGGATGTTGAATAAGCAAAAACTAAGCCTAGCTCCTTGCTCATGTTGTCTTAATAGCTGTTGAAGAATCACGCTGGGAAGTTCGAAAGCGGAGTAATGAAAACCAGACGCGGTTGGAGCTGCAGGTTGAGGATGTGAGCTTGTGAGGGGCTGAGTGGTAAGGGTGTGTCTGGGATCTGTGAGGGGGCACTGATTCCGGAATGCTGAGTATCTTGCCGCCAACTGCCAGAGTGAAAGCTTGTCTGACGGCAGACATCTTTCTGAGCTTCACTGGGGCCTCAGGTATTCCCTCTGATAGCTGTCTGATCCACGGACTGGGATAGAGCGAAACGGATTGATTGCATCAGTAGGCGCGAGCCTGCCTTTCTCTTGCGGTGGGTGTCTCTCCCTTTATTTGCAGAAACTCTGAACATTCCTTCGGGATTTAATCGAATGGCCACTAGGGGGCGCCCTGAGAACGGAGGAGGCCCGTTTCACCGCAGCAAGCTGCTAAGTCCTGCTGTGTTGTCCAGCCCTCTGTTCAGTTTCCCATTGTGCTGCTCATTACAGCCCCATCTCTTGTTTTACTCAAAGATTATGCAAAGATTCTAAATCTGGTAGCACATCCACATCCAGAAACTGGCAGTCCCCACACTGCTTTCTACCTGATAGATAAGCTTCGGATGTTAGCAAAATCATCTAAGTAGATGCATTAAGCAGATGAGGAAACTGAGATTGGGTGAAGGGAAGGCTTCCTTGACTTCAAGTCCGTCCCCCCACCCCCAACCCCGGTCCCCCCTCGCGGAGCTCGCTGCTCACAGATGGTGTCAGAACTTAAGTGAGAAACAGAAATTGTCAGGTGGAAAATTCCCTATGCCTGACTGGACAGAAAATAAAACAAACATTAAAAAAAAAAATTGGTCAGCAAGTTGTTCTTGCCTGTACAGTGCTTGGTGACTCAGAATCTGTCAAGAGCAGCAAGAAATTTTCATCTGAAGTGTGACTTTGGAGTTTTCTGCTGGTTCCAAGGATACACTGAATATCCACTTGCTTTTGAGGTGCAGTTCCAGAGAATTCAGAGCACGTTGTCTCAATTCTGCCTTTTAGGTCTTTGGGTAGTATTGCGAAGTGATGCTTTATTTTCGTTTGTACCCACGCCTTTCCGAGCACTTTCCAGGAGGCGCCGTGCCTTTCAGCTGCTTTGCCAACACGAGTGGCCCAAGTAGAGTGCTGGGTGTTAGGCTGCCTGAGATGCTATGAAATCAGCGCCCTTGAGACAGAGGATTGTTTAAGAATCTTGTGGCTTTTAATTGCACGTCTGGAAGGGCCTTCTGAGTCAAACAGCACACCATGGAGCATCAGCATTCTATCAAAGGCAGTTCCGAAAAGAGGGGTTGCAGAACCAGGAGCTTGGAGTCAGCTGGTCCAGCCCTCTATGTGGTCCAGGCATTCTCCAGGCATCCTTTTCATCCTAAGTGTAGTCTTGCTGCTACTGTCTGAGCATGTCTATGAGAAAGGACTCAAAGTGGCTTCTTCCAGAGTTCATAAGCTGCACAAGTGAGGCCCTCTGGCAGAAGGACTAAGAGCCCTGGCTTATATTCAAATCCTGACCGATTCCTGACTAGCTTTGTGACTTTGGGCAAGCTATGTAACTTTCAGAAGCCTCTACTTTCTCATCTGTAAAATGGGCTAATATAGTACCACCATATGAACTAGTTATGAGAATTGAATAAAATAACCTATGTGAAAGTGAAAGTCACTCAGTCGTGTCTGACTCTTTGTGACCCCATGGACTGTACAGTCCATGGCATTCTCCAGGCTGGAATACTGGAGTGGGTAGCTGTTCCCTTCTCCAGGGGATCTTCCCATCCCAGGGATCAAACCCAGGTCTCCTGCATTGCAGGTGGATTCTTTACCAGCTGAGCCACCAGAGAAGCCCTTAGAAAGCCTCAAAAGGTGAAATTAGCAAATTCAGTTTCTTTTTTCAGCAGATTTTTACCCCCTCATTTCACCTGGACTTTCATTTACGTTTTAAGACCATCAGAGAGGCATGATGCATTGGCCAGTTAAATCACTCAGAGAGAGGTAGGAGAAATAATCAACTTTTCAGGTTAATTAGGGAAGTGCACCCATAGGAAGCCAAGACCATCAGCCAGATTCTGATAGGATCTGAACACATTTCCAAGGCCTTGAATTTGGGCTTTGTGTATTGCACAACTTTCGTTTTGATACAGTTTCAGGCAGGGTTGCAGAGCAAGCCCCTGTGTTATAACATGGCATTTTCTTTGAGCCAAGCTCCCTGGACCCTCAG